GAAAGAAAGAAAGAAAGAAAGAAAGAAAGAAAGAAAGAAAGAAAGAAAGAGAAAGAAAGAGACAGGAGTTAGGCAAGCCTGGGTGGCTCTGTCAGTTGGGCATCTGACTCTTGATTTTGGCTCAGGTCATGATCCCCAGGCTGTGAGGATCGAGCTCCACTAAGCATGTAGCCTGCTGGAGATTCTCCCTCTCTCTCTCTCTCTCTCTCTCCTTTCTTTCCTCTCGCCTGCTCATGCTCTCACATTCTTTCTCTAAAAAAAATAAATAAATAAAAATAAAATAAAAAAATAAAGACACATGACATATAAGGCATAATAATGGCAATAATGCTAATACTAATGATCAGAGCATTTTAAGTACATTTTTTAGTCTTTATATGTATTAATCCCTTTATTCCTAGCAGCAACCCACTGATATAGGTAGTATTATTATCGTCACTAGACACAGAAGGAAACTACAACACAGAGAACTTCAGAATCTTGTTTATGACCATAGTTATGCAGGGCAGAGCTGTGGTTCTAGTCCTGGCTCCTAGTGGTCTTCAAAGCCCAAACTCTTAACCACTAGCTCTTATTCCAGAGGTGGGATGTTATCTATGGTACATGTTATAACAGGTACACACAAAAAGGAAATCTGAGGGGGTGTGTGTACGTGCATGGTGAATCAGAGACACCAGTTCTTTCCATCTTAATGAAAGTAGACACAGGCTATAAATGGGAAAGTGTAGGGCTATAGTGCTCTAAATGCAGAACTTCTACCCCTTTCACTAGAAAGACATTATCCTGTAAATAGTCATGATGTGTTAATCAAACTACGTCATCAGGGAAATACAAATCAAAACCACAATGAGATACCACCTCACACTTGTCAGAAGGGCTAAAATTAGCAACTCAGGAAACAACAGATGCTGGTGAGGATGTGGAGAAACGGGAACCCTCTTGCACTGTTGGTGGGAATGCAAACCGGGGCAGCCGCTCTGGAAAACAGTGTGGAGCGTCCTCAAAAAATTAAAAATAGAACTACACTACAACCCAGCCATTGCACTACTAGGAATTTACCCAAAGGATACAAAAATGCTGATTCAAAGGGGCACATGCATCCTGTTGTTTATAGCAGCGCTATCAACAATAGCCAAATTATGGAAAGAGCCCAGATGTCCCTCAACTGACGAATGGATTAAAAAGATGTGTGTATATATATGTGTATATATATATATATGTGTATATATATATATATATACACACACACACACACACACATATATATATACACACACACACACACACAATGACATGCTACTCTGCAATGAAAAGGAATGAAATCTTGCCATTTGCAACAACATGGATGGAACCGGAGGGTATTATGTTAAGCAAAACAAGCCAGTCAGAGAAAGACAGATATCACGTGATTTCACTCATATGTGTAATTTGAGAAACTTAACAGATGATCATACAGGAAGGGAAGGAAAAATAAGATATAAACAGAGAGGGAAGTAAACCATAAGAGACTCTTAAATACAGAGAACACACTGAGGGTTGATGGGGATGGGGGAGTGGGGTAGGGAAAATGGGTGATGGGCATTAAGGAGGGCACTTGTTGGGATGAGCACTGAGTGTTATAACTAAGTGACAAGTCCCTGGATTCTACTCCTGAAGCCAAGACTACACTGTATGATAACTAATTTGAGAATAAAAAAATAATAAATATATTTAAGAAAAAAAATGTCAGAGCTACATTGGGGTATCTGGGTGGCTCAGTCAGTTAAGTATCCAACTCTTGATTTCAGCTCAGGTCATTATCCCAAGGTCATGAGATCAAGCCCCATCTTGGGCTCCACACTGAACGTGGAGCTTGCTTGAGATTCTCTCTCTCTCTCTCTCTCTCTCTCTCTCTCTCTCTCCCCCCTCTGCCTCTCTCCTGGACTCACTCTCTCTCACTCTCTAAACAACAACAACAAAAAAAATTAAATTAAATTAAATTAAATTAAAAAAGAAATAAAGGTCAGAGCTACAAAATTTAAAGGGTAGTGTGGTCCAATAAGTATGGTACTTTAAGTAACACAAACCTGGGTTCAAGTCCAAGTTATACCTTTGGTTAGCTGGATGACCTTAATCAAGTTATGTAACTTTTCTTAATCTCATTTTCTTCAAATGGAAAAAACAAAACAAAACAAAACAAAAACTGAGCACATGACCCCAGGAAATGTTTTACAATAACTAAGTAATGCAAAGAACAATGCCTAAACACTCAAAAAATATCATCAGCTGTAAATAATTCCTATCTATCTGTGAAATCTTCCTGCTTCTCTTTGCAGACCTTCTGCTTTCATCAAATTAGTTTACCTTTTTCAAGTATGATGGAATTCTCCTTTCCATTTCTGCCTTTCATTTCTGCCTTTCATTCTCTCTTGCATTTCTGCCTTTCATTCTCTCTTGCAGAAATATTTCTTTTGTCCCCAAATCCTATCTATAGGAATTCTACCATTAAGCCAGCCAGATCTACATCAAATGCCACCAAGTCCACAAATTGTTTTTTTTGTTTTTTGTTTAGTTTATTTTTATTTGAGAGAGAGATAGCAAGTGGGGGAGGAACAAAGAGAGAGGGAGACAGAACCCCAAGAACGCTCGCACGATCAGAACAGAGCCTGATACAGGGCTTGAACTCGCAAACTGTGAGATCATGACCTAAGCCAAAATCAGAAGCCAGACTCTTAATGAGCCACCCAGGCGCCCCTCCACAGTGTTTCTTGAATGATGCCTCCTGCAGTAAACTACCCCTGAGTGATTTGAATTCCTAAGTACTACTGGATTCCTAAATATTATTGGGCTCTACTTCTTTTAAGACATAATCATCATAATACTAACAATTAACAAATGCCTTATCATACACCATGCACTGTTTTAAGCATTTCATAATATTTTATATCTCACATAATTCTCTTCACTTATGATAGTTACCATTATCATCTGCACTTAGACATAGTCCTGAATGTCAGTCATTATTAAAACGTCTTGTGTGCACAGCTGGACTGAACTCACTGAAGAGCAAAGAGGCCACAAGCGTAGTATTTGAACTTGTAGGCTCTGGAGTGAAAACACCTGGGTTACTGGTCCTGATCCTATCTGCTGTGTGATATGGTTCCCAATTCTCTCCAATTTTAATTTGTAAAAGGAAATGCTGATAATACCAACTTCAAAGAGTTACTAGAAGGTTTGAGTTTGCAGATATAAGAATTTGAAACAATATGTGGAAAATGGTGGATATGTATATGCCAGTTTATATTATTATTATTATTATTATTTTAAATAGCATATAGTAGGTTCCAAGAAAAGGCTTGCTTCTCCACTTTGCATTCGCTATTCCCTTTGCCTATACTGCCTTTTCCCATCCTCACTCATTATTCCACTGCCAACTTGAAGAACTCAATGCCTAGTTCTGTAGGAACTAGCACTAGCATCTCTTGTTACGCAAAGCCTTCCTTGGTGGCTCCCTTCCCAGGGAAAGTTCTCTCTTTCACACCCTCTATTACCTTATGCCCAATTCACTTGTACCCCTCATCTCCCTGTGAGGTGATTCCTGCTTAGAACTAAGAGCTCTACAAAGATGGGGACTCGGTCTTAATTATTTTTAACCCCTCATACTTAGCACACTATTTGCATAAATGGGGGCGCTCTCTTAGTGTCCAGTGAGTGATCAAAAAGATGAATGAAAAATACCTGAATAAGAAAAGTTAACAACTCTTAACTCACTCCTGTATAATTCACTGAGAAGTCATTCAATCTTCCAATCAAAGCATCGAAAAGAAACCCTATTAAAACTAAATGTTTTATAAAAATAGATGAGAGGGTTCTGTAAGGGATTCACTGTATTCCTATCAGTCACATATTCACTCCCCGTGCTACCAGGCTATTGATATTTTAGTGATAGACATTGCAAAATGATAGATTTACCAGCAATTCATAAACTCAAGACATTAACAGACACGCTGTTAGGCAGCTCAGATATAAACAGAATATTATGGAAAGAAAATAATAATTAACTCATAAGAAGAGGGGCAAGTAAACATTCTATTAAAGGGGAAAAAATCCCAACTGAATATAATCTCCTTCCATTGCATTATGAGCATTAAAATTAATGGCGTTCGTTTTTCTGTGGTTTGGATAGTCATTGTATTTAAAAAGCTGAAGTTAACTTCACAGAGGAAAAAAAATAAATTAAAT